GTTGGCCACAGCGCAAATCACAAGAGGGCGGATGCGCAGCGTCTCGAAAATTCACCCACGGGAAACGCTTTCAGAGCTCAGAACGTCAATGCCTCCTAACTCTCGTTTACGAGTGTTCGGAACGCGCGGGCGCGCGCACTCGAATGCCCTGAGCAGATTTGTAGCGTTCCCAGATAAGATTCTTTCAACACCTGACAGTTTACTGACGCGTTACAATGCAATGAGCACACGCTCCCTCGGCCACTATCCTTAGTAAAACGCAGGTACTTCGGCTGCAACGGAAGTGCTGCTGCCGACGACCCTGTGCGCGATAATCGTCTCAAGCCTCTTGAATCGTGCACCGTCGGTTGCTTAGATTTCCCGAGCTGCCTGGAAGTTCTCTTGAGGTTTCTTCTCGGCCGGGTTGAAGCCTCTTGGGAGCATCCTGGGGGTCTTATTGGGGGATCTTCGAGGTCTCGAAAGCACCTCCTGAACAGTCTTGGCGCCCTCTCGGGTCATTTTGGAGCTCTACTGGGCAGCCTCTCCTGTGGGCGCCTCTTGCATACCAAAAAGAAGATCGCAGTACGCAGTGGGATCGGCAACGGGCTGGAGTCTAGCCGTGGCGACAAGGGGACCCCCAAGAGGGCGAAACACACAGAGGGCAGGAACCTTCATGGAATCGGTGGCGAACATAGCGGCCGCGCTAAATCCCAAGAATTCCCGCAGCCCTCTGGGCGAAGTTGGCCTAACAAATTCGTCCTGTCATCTTCCAAAACCCTCTTCCACTTGGGAAAGTTACCCCCCCCCCCTCCCTCTCTGGGTCTGGACGGGGGGGACGGGGGGGTTAGAACACCCAATATGGCCCAAGATGGCTACAAGATGGCTTCCGATGCACCGAGATGGCTCCAGGGCGGCTCAAGATAGTCGAAGATGGTGCAAGATAGCTTCCGACATACCTCCATGAGGTCCGACGAGGGCCACAAGACGGTTCGAAGTGCTCTCGGAGCCCCCATTCAGGACCCCCCCCCAGAGGCCAAAATCCTTCAAAACCACGGGGGGGGAATCAATGATTTGTGCCTTCTCGCCTGTTCGTTCGCTTCCGATGCGCTCTTGAGGCCTCGAAATAGCCCCAAGATGGCCCAAGAGAGGCCGAAGATGGGCCCAAGACGGCCTCAAGAGCGCCCGAAAATGGCCCAAGAGCGGCCCAACAGGCGACGGATGGACGCCTCTCTGGATCCAGGACAACTGGAACGATGAGAATCCGATGCCCCTGTGCCGCACTTCCTGGACCTATGGCGACTGGAATGGTGAGAACCCGATGCCCCTGTTACACTCTCTGGACCTAAAACGGCTGCCACACTTCTGTACCTATGGCAGCTGGAACGGTGAGAAGCCCATGGCCCTGCCACACGTTCTGGACCTAAGACAGCTGGAATGGTGAGAACCCGATGCCCCTGCAAAATGTTCTGGACCTGCGACGGCTGAAATCGAGCCGGAACACCTTAGTGAGTCTCATTTCTGGATCTGCGAAGATTAAAATGAACCCTGAACAGGACAGCTCGAACGGTGAGAATCCGATGCCCCTGCCACCAAGTATAGATCTGCGACGGCTAAAATCGAACCCAGAACACCATAGCGAGTCTCATTTTTTGATCTGCGAAGGCTGATATCGTGCCACAGCACTCGGCCACCCCTGTGGAGATTCTGGTAGTCGTTGAACTGAAATCGAACCAGAATATCATAGTGAGTCGCATTATTGAGCCAGCTCTAGCCTGAACGCCAGAGTGAACCCAAATTATTGATCTCTCTCTCACACACACACAGAGCCGCACCTAGACGGCGCACTGGCACGAAATAACTACGAACTCGCACATGCACAGAACATGTCACAAGCGTACGCGCCATGCAGGGGGAAGAGGTGCGCAATCAACACCATACGTAGCGCTGGTGGCCCGCTCTTCGGTTGCCTGCAAGCGTCACTGGCGGGGGATGGAGCGGAGAGGAGGGGAGGGAGGGGAAGAAAGGGGGAAGAGGGGACACAGGCAATCAACTAAAAAACGCAGTGTTGCCTGACAGCCGCATGCCATTCCGAAGGATTCTGTAGCAGACACTGAAGACAGTCGGGGTCGTCACCCCTCACTGCTACGGCCTCGGCGTACAAGTACGTCGTCCATTGTAGTCGGGGTCGTCCTCTCGCCCTCGGGCATTTCCAGTTGCGAGGCAAACAAGACGTTGGTTGAATATCCTCGAACACCATCCTTGTAGGTAAGTTTTCGGCGCTGTTCCGGGCAAGTTTTCCATATAAGGCCAATTGTCGTCCCAGTAAAAACGATGACAAACGCGGCGCGCGAGCACGCTCACGCACATCAGCGTTGCTCACGCGGGACAACCAAACAGGAAGAATATTGAATATGCTGCGTAGTTGTAAGCCATCAATACGACCCCTGTCCGCTTTGAGGAGCACGCAAGATTCGAGCCCATATAGCAACTTGAAATCCGCACGACTCCAAGATCAATAGTTTCCGCGCTCTCGTCAGGTTGGCGTGGTCGTGGCTCCAAACAGTACATAATGTTTGGAATATGCGTTTCGTTTCTCCCAAGCGCCGGGTAAGCTCTGCTCGCGGCTTCCCGTCTGTACTGATGAGGCCACCCAAATAAACAGCATGTTCCTTGACCGCGATTGCGTTGCCATCCGGCCCAAAAACATGCCCATCATATCGAATCCTGAGCAGGACTGTTTTGTCAGAGTTAATTTTCCTTTCTAAACAGAGAATAGACTCTACCGCCCCCCCGGCGTTATCGCCCCCCCCATTTCGGGCATGTAAATCACATACGATTCTGACCACATGTCCATCTTAGATTTTAAATCACAATGTCCAAGGCCAACCGGGTTCCCCCCCTGAGGTTGCATTGTAAAAAACACTACGCGGTGACATTTTTTGTTTAATCATAGCACTTTGTGACGAATCCCTTTCAAAAAACGGGACGAAGTGCACACACGCGCGCGTCGTCGCGCGCATGCCCAAATCCTTCAAAAACCTTCGGTGCCGGAAGGATTTCGCAATCGAGTTTCCCCCCCAAAAAAAAAACAACAACAACAACAACAAACAACAACAACAACAACAACAACAACAACAACAACAACAACAACAACAACAAAAACAAAAAAAAACGCGTAACACTGATTCGCTGAAAAAACTGACGCGCTAGCTCTTGCGAAATCTTACGAAAACCATAGGTTTTTCCAAGATTGACACGGCGTCGTCGTCCTCTTTGGCGTCGTGGTCGTTTCCGTCGTCGTTGTCGCCGTGGTCGTCCTTCCTCCTCCTCCCTCGTCGTCGTCGTCGTCGTCCGTCGTCGGCGTCTCGTCGTCGTCCCTCCTGTTTCGTCACCGTCGTCGTCGTCGTTGTCGTCGTCGTGTCGTCGTCGTCTTCCCTCCTCCCTCGTCGTTGTCGTCGTCGGCGTCGCCGTCCTTCCTCATTCTTCGTCGTTCGCGTCGTCGCCGTCCTCCCTCCTCCCTCGTTGTCGTCGTTGTCGTCGTTGTCGTCGTTGTCGCCGTCGTCGTCCTCCCTCCTCCCTCGTCGTCGTCTTCGTTGGCGACGTCGTCGTCGTCTTCGTCGTCGTCGTCGTCCGCGTCGGCGTCGTCGTCGTCGTCGACGTCGGCGTCGTCGTCGTCGCCGCCGTCGTCGTCGTCGTCGGCCGTCTTGCTTCTCTGGCCTTCTTGGGGCGCTCTTGAGAAGCCTCCGAGGGCTCCAAAACGACCCAGGAGCGATATCTGTGCTCGGTCCCGCATGGGCTTTGCAAACCAAGTTGCAGGTGGGTGGGTGGGATGATTACGCGAGCAGTGGAGTTGACAACTTCAAGTTCGGCAAGTGAAGTTCCAAGCCATACTTCTTCCCAATATCTACCACCAAATCTAGATGCGCTTGCAGGGTGCTGGGGTCCGTGGCCACGAGCATAGTATCGTCTGCGTATAGAACATCTTCAGTAATCACGTATGGCTTGGTTGGTCTGCCAGGCCGTTCCAAATTCAAGCGTGTATCCACCGTCTCCAGAAGAACCGACATAACAATGATGAGCAAGTACGGCGAAAATGGGCAAACTTCCGCAATGCCAGCGGGTTGTGTATGAATGGATGATGTAGTACCCATGGATTCCCTTCGGGGATCATCGGTAAAATTGGAACGATACGGAGAAGATTAGCATGGCCCCTGCGCAATTCTTGATCTGCGAGGGCTCACATCGAGCCGCAGCACTAAAGTGAATCGCATTTCTGGGCCAAATCGAACCAGAGCACCGTAGTGCGCGCTGCCGGGCCGCTCTGCCGGGCCGCCTCTGGGCCCGGAAGACGCCTCCCCCCCGCCCCCCCCCCCGTGGAGATTCTGGTAAGAGAAATCTTTGCTCTACTAAGAGCCCCCTGGCGCAATGCTGGAGAGGACACAATTTGGAGCGCGCGCGTGGCCCCCGGGGGGCGACGCACACACACAGAGCAACAGTTTGCTGTGGTGACGTGGAACTCTCGGCCGCGGCCCCATGGATACAGGGCAGCTTTGCGCGGAGGCTTCGCGCGGAGGGTGTCGATCGCGCCTCCATGGGATCCCGCCTCGGCATCCAGACCGCGAGGGCGTGGCTACGGACACGTTCGCCGCTCGTGGTCCCGACGACGACGACGACGACGACGACGACGACGAACGACGGACGACGGACGACGAACGACGGACGACGGACGACGGACGACGAACAACGACGAACAACGACGACGACGATGACGACGACGACGACGACGACGACGGGCCCGAGATCGTCTCATTTCCGCCATCTCCGCCCGATTCCGCTTCCGCTTCATTTCATCTGAAGTTCTTCTCGTCCGTTACATTCCGTCCGAACTAATTTCATCCACTTCGATTCGTCCACTTCGATCTCTCCGCTTCGATTCGCCGTGTCGAAACGAATGAGGACGAAACGAAAAAAGAGGACGAAATAAAAGTCCGCTGTCGCCGCCCCAGCGCACCCCCTCCGGCCTCCACGGGCACGCACCGGCAGCCCCGGGACCACAGCGCTGCCTGGAGGGGAACAAATAATGAAATCCGCCACCGTGCCTCCGGGCACGGAGTGGGCGTGTCCTCAGGTCCCTTGCCTAGTCCTCTAAGCCTCAATCCCCACCTTTGAAAAATCTGCACGGGGCCCAGACACCATATTGCCATCTCCCGGGGCTTCCCGCGTGCCCCCATGAATTTTATCAATTGTTCGGGCCCAGGAAAACCCCAAGACGGGCCAAGACGGCCCCGAGTCGCCGAACGATTGCTCCAAGACGCTTAAGGTGGCCCCCAGACGACCCAAGAGGCATCCAAGACGGCCAAAGAGGACTCCAAAACGCCTCCCAAGAGTGCCCTCAGAGGCCGAAATCATTTATTTTCCGCAGGTTTCTCAAGGATTTGGGCGTTCTCGCCGCTTCCCGACGCTCCCAGACGGCCCAAGAGGCCCCCAAGACCGCCTCAAGACGGCCCAAGAGGGCCCCAAGACGGCCCAAGAGGCCCCCAAAACGGCCCAAGAGGGCCCTCAGACGGCCCAAAACAGGGACCCAAGAGAGGGAACACGAACCGAAAGTTCGAGCCTTTCACCCCGAAAGGCCCCCAAGAGGCCCACAAGAGGCCCCAAAACGGCCCCCAAGAAGCGTCCAAACTCCCTCCCAAGAGGCCCCCGAGAGGCCTCCCACGAGATCCCAGCGAACATCCAATAGGCTTCATACTCACAACCCAGGCACGGTTGCGGGATGGGCCGAAGGCCACTAGATATAAACATCAAAACTCGCAGGTGAGGTCCGCGCGGAGTTATTGGATCGGCGCTGGACCGTACCCCCCTCCCTGGCGCGCGGAACACGTCAGGGGCTGCGCCAGAGACCGGAGGCGCCATCAAGGGGGTCCAGCGCCGATCCGAGAAGTCTGGGCGGAGCTCAGAGAAACTGTGTTCATGCAGTGCTCCTGGGCCCAGGGATGGGCGCCGGGCCTAGGGGAACAAAAAGTGACATAAACATAAAAACTCGGAGGTCCGCGCGGACTCCTCGGATCAGCGCTGGGGCCCCCCGGCGGCGCCTCCGGCGCCGCCCCTGGCGCGCTCCGCGCGCCAGGGAGGGAGGTCCAGCGCCGATCCGAGAAATCCGCGCGGACCTCCGAGTTCTTCTGTTTATGTCACTTTTTGTTCCCCTAGGGCCTACGTCAGGCCTGCGCCAGGGAGGGGCCAAAGGCTCCAGCGCCGGTCCGAGAAATCCGCGCGGAGCTCCAAGAGTCTAATGCGTAGGCCCGGGCGTCGGAGTCCGCGGGCGGCTGGTGGACGTGCGTGGATTTCTTCGCCCGGTGCCTGCGCGTCAAAGTCCACGGGCGGCCAGGGGGGCAGCACGTACCACCAGCGGCACAGCACCTGCGCAGTCGCGGAGGCCAGGGCCGACGAGCACAGCCAGCACGGGCAGAGCCGAGGAGGAGCGACGAGCGAGAGCAGGAGCGGGGAGTAGCGGGTGAATCAGCTGGGGGGCGGGGAAGAACAAGACGAGGAAGGAAGATGGGGAGGAGGAAGGAGGAAAGAGAACGGGAAGGAGGAGGGAGGAGGGAGGGAGGGAGGGAGGGAGGACAGAGGGAAACAAGACGGATGAGGATCACGAAGAACAGGAAGCGAAAAGGGTGAGAGGAGGAGGAGGAGGAGGAGGAGCAGGAGCAGGAGCAGGAGCAGGAGCAGGAGCACACCAGTCGACTGCGGCTTGGCCCCGGCTGCGCTCGGCGCCGCACCGATGCGCAAGCTGAGGCCGATCGCTTGCGCGGAGGCTTTGCTCAAGGTGGTCGAGGAAGTGCACATCGACGAGCACGTGACCAAGCTTCTGTGCAACCTGGAGCCTGATCAGCTCGGCTGCGGCACGCCAGACGGCGCCCTCCTCATCATTAACATTGCGCGGTCCTGGGCCCAGCTTCTGGAGCGGGGTGGGGAAGGCGCTGAGCAGGAGGAGGACATGGAGGATGCGGACGTTCTCGCGTCCATCGATATTGAGAACGCCTATGGTCGTGCTTTCAGTTCCTCTTGTCTCCGGGGCTGCCGCTCCAGAGCGCCCGAGATCGCAGCGCTCGCAGCGACCCAGTGGCGGCCAGGGCATTCGACTGTGTGGCAGCGCGTCGGCGGAGGCTGGCGTAAGTCGCACACCTCGCGAGGCGGCTGGCAGGGCGCCCGACTCGTGCAGGTGATGTTCGCCATGGGCTTGGAGGATTCCCTGCGGGCCCTCCCGCGAGCGAACGCCAGGTCCCTGCGTCGCCTACCAGGACGACACCTGCACCTTCTCGAAGGCCAGCGTGCTTGCGGACGCGTGGCCAGCAGTGGAGGCCAGCCTCGCCCAGGGCGGGCACCGCGTCCGCACCCCAAAGTGCAAAGTGTGGGCCCCGCTGTGCGACGATGTGCCGGACGCCATGCTGCCGCGGCACGTCCGCCGATTGGCAGCGATAGCGCCGCAGACGCGCGGCGGCCTCGTCCTTCTCGGAGGCGCCGTGGACGACGAGCTTGCGACCCAGATTGGCAGGGCGGGCATTCTGCTGCAGCCAGCCGTGGCGCGGGCGCGCAGGCGGCCGCATTCGCGGAGCGCATCCGGGAGTTCGCAATGGCTCACCCCGCCATCACATCCACGCACCTTGCGTGGTTCATGATGTCCAAGTCGGTATCTCATGCTCGTTCTTTCGACGCGCGTTTGGTGCCTTCGCGGGCGCTGGGCGCTGTGGCCGAGCCTGTGAGTAGCCGTGCAGAGGAGATTTTTCAGGAGATGGCTTTCGGGAAGAGGTTGACTGAAGAGTCTGTCCTGCAAATGCGCCTCTCGGGTGCGTTCGGCGGGCTGGGCCTGCGCCGCGAGGCGGAGGGCGACATGGCCGACGCAGCGCTGTGGGCAGTGCCCGCTGTGGCCACTGGCACTGGGTTGCGAATCGCTTGCTGCGACGGCGCCGAGGATGCCGAGGGCGCGCGGCAACGCCTGGCCGCCCAGGGCGTCATCAATGACCTCGAAGGCGGGGTCCGGCACGCGCCGGCGGCCGCGGAGGAATACGGAGGCGGCCCCTGGGCCAAGGACGTCGCTAGTGACGACCTTGGCTCTTTGCGACAGCTGCCGGAGGCCACGCCTGAGGCGGCCGCCCCAGGCCAGCGGCCGTCTGAGTTGCCGAGGCGCTTCGCGAGCCGTATCTTCTGGCACCTCGAGGCGCTGGCGGGCAACCCGTGTATGGCACAGGCTGGGCGCCGAGCGGCGCGAAGGCATGCTGTCAGCTGGGGGCGCTGGGGCTGGGGCGCTCTGGAGGCAGATGCCCACCGAGCCTGCCGGGTTCTTCCCGTCCTACCACTTCTGCGTGGCGTCCTTGCGCAGGCTTGGCGCGCTTGAGGCCCCCCGAGGCGCCACGTGCCGCATCCCGTGCCAGGTCGGGGATGGAGCGGAAGTCGGTGGACAGCTGCTGGACCCCACCCTCCAGCATCCACAGCTGTGCAAGCACGGCCCTGCGCGCACGCGCCCGCACAGGGCTCTCGCGGCGGCGGCTGCCAGGCTGCTGCGCGCGTGCCGGGCGGAGGTCGACATGGAGCGCACGGTCCCCGAGCTGAGTTGGACAAGGAGGAATGGCTCCATCGAGGAGGCCATCCTGGACTTGTATGTTACCTTTCTGGGCAGCGTGCAGCCGATCTACATCGACGTGTCGATCCGCTGCCCTCACGCGCAGCGCTACACACGCGCGCTGCCTCCTGCCCAGACTCGGCGGCCTTAGCGGCGGCTGCGGACAAGCGCGCGCGCGCTACGGCAGCGACGTGCTGCCTATCGCGGTGGAGTCCTACGGCCGCCTGGGGCAGGAGTCGCTGCGCTCTCTGGACATCCTGGCGGGGGCAGCCTCCGAGACGCCTGGGCCGCGCCCCGCCTGCTGCCGCGCTGGCGCGCCTCCCTCGAGCGCGTCGTGCAGTACGCGTGCGCCGACATTGACTTGTTGGCGCTCGGCTGCACGCCCACGGCCGCCGCATCCAGGGTTGCCTACGGCCGCGTGTTCGCTTCGTGAGCAGGCAGGAGAGGGCGCAGAGTGCCACCTACGGTAGTGGTAGTGTCACAGAGTGTGCGTGTCCTCCAGCGGTGTCTTAGCAGGAGCAGGAGGAGGAGGAAGAGGTGCAGGAGAAAGAGGAATTACCCCGCCCCTCAGGGTCTTCCTGTCGCCTTCATCTATTCTTTTCCACAGATCTCTTAGTTCAACCGCCCCTGGGGGCGACCGTCCATTGGGGGGAGCCGCCAGCGCCCAGCGCCAGGGAGGCGGAGGCGGAGGCGGAGGAGAAGGAGGAGGAGGAGGAGGAGGACGAAACCTGGCTGCTCTCAAACCGAACTCACGAGCCGACAGCGACAGCGCCCCATGAGGAGGAGGAACGCGCGTCGTTAATGCCCCGTCCCACGATCACAGGCACCCTTCAGATGTCCCAGGCGGGGCCCCAGGCAATGCGTGCGACGGGGTGGCGCGGCTGGCCTGGGCCCCGCGCACCAGAGCGATGCGTCCTCGGGCTTACCAGGTCACGCCCTTCGGCGACTTCTGGCTGGAACCCGGAGGCAGGCGAGCTGCAGAGCGGTGACGGAGCGGACGGCACCTGGAGGCACCTGACCCGAGGAGGGGCTCGGAGGGGCTCGGAGGGCTTCGGGCACCCCTCGGCGAGCCCCGCGCTGGTTGGCAGGGCTGTGGCGTCGAGCGCCTCGGAGGGCCTCGGAGGTCTCAGGGGCGCCCCAGGAGCAGCTCAGAGGGCCTCGGGAACTGAACGACAACATGGGCCTAACAACCTCCAGGTCCGCGCGGACTTCTTGAACCGGCGCTGACCCCCCTAGCGGAGCGCGCCAGGGAGGGAAATCCAGCGCCGATCCGAGAAATCTGCGCGAACCTCCAAGAGTTCATGCTCGTGTCATGTGCTGCTCACCGAGGACCTCAGCGGACCTCCGGGGACTCCGAAGCAGCTCGGCGGACCTCCGGGGACCTCCCGACGGCTGCTCCGAGACACGCTGGCCTCACGACCTCCAGTACTGGGGGGCGCGCCTGCGCAGGCCAGTGTGGAGCTGCGAAACGGCTCCTACACTTGATGGCCCAGCGCGCTGTGCTGCTGTGTTCGAGGGCGGTGCTGAGCCCGCGGGGAAGAGAGCCCCAAATCGAACTGATGATTGAGTCGGATCGGCGATCGAGATGAGGGAGCGCGATGCACCGTCGCTTGACTGGAATGAATTTCCCCCCCTCCGGGAAAACGGACAGGGGGAGGGGGTCAAATTCTCCCTCCCCCCTTCCCAAGGAACATGGGGGAGGGCACAAAAGACCCCACCCCCCTGGTTCGAACCCGGGGGCAGGGGGGGATTCCGCTACACGGAAACCGGGAGGGAAGAGGAGTGAGGGGGGCGCAAACTCCCCCCCATTCCCGGTTTGAACCAGGGAATTCCTAATTCTCATCCCCGCGGCTCGAACTGGAAAGGACGAGGGGAGGTCCCCTCCCCGCACTGCATTCGGAAACGGCTTGAGCTTTGTTTACGTTTTGTTTGAGCTTTGCTTGAACTATGTTTGCGCTTTGGTTGTATGTTGTTGGAGCTTTGCTGGAGCTTTGTTGGAACCTTGGTTGAGCTTGGTTTGAGCTATGCTGGAGCTTTGCTCGGGAGTTGTTTGTGCCATATTTGCAGTGAACTTACACTTTACTTAAACTGTGTTAGAGATGTTGTTGGGGCTTTGTGTCAGCTTCGGTTGATCTCTGCTTGAGCATTGTGTGAGATGTGTTGGAGTATTGTTTGAGTTTTGTGAGATATGGATTAAGTTTCGATAGCATCTTGTTGGAGCTTCGCTTGAGATTTACGGGAGTTTTGTTCGAGCCTTGTCCGAATGTTTTGGGCCTTGTTTGAGTTTCGTTGAGCTGTGTTTGAGCTGACGACGACGACGACAGAAACTGCGACGGCGATGGCGACGGCGACGGGCGGGACATTAAATGCAACCCTTAGTTGGCGATGGGACAGTATTGGAGGAAATATCTCACAGCCACGGGGACGCCGTTCGGGCGGGCGGGACATTAAATGAAAAATTCACTCTTTGATGGGACAAGGCTGGGGGAAATCTATCACAATCACTGGAATCACCAGTCGGACGGACGGGACATTAAATGAAACCTTCACTCAGTGATGGGGCGTCGTCGTCATCATCACCATCAACATCGTCACCGCCACCACAACCACCACCACCACCACCACCACCATCATCATCATCATCATGATCATCATCATCATCATCATAATCAGTAGCAGCAGCATCATAATCACTATCAGCAGCATCATCATCATCATCAGCAGCAGCAGCAGCAGCATCAGCATATCATCACCATCATCATCAGCAGCATCATCATCAGCAGCACCTCATCATCAT